ACTATTTGTTATATAAAATAACACACGAGAAACTCGTACGCAATTTCATCGATATTGGATGCAACGAAACATAAACAAGACTAAAAATAATACGAAAGGTGACAACAAAAAGTATTTTTTTGAAAACCAACACACTTCAAGTACTTTCCATTTACACATCTACCTACCCCTTTCATCTTCATCCCTTTCCCATTCCCATTCCCATTTCATATCTTCAAATACAATTTTTTTCATTCCAACTCAGAAAAATAATTGTTTCTCAATCTGAGACGAAAATATAAACAAAAAAACAATTAAAAAAAAAATAATGATATTTCTCTTAAAAGAAACAAATCCAAAAGAAATCCACGAAAACTGTGTGTCTCTTATCGTCCCTGTACGAGACTATGGGTTCTACTTACAGTGTTTTAGGAACGACCCTTTTGCACTCACCCCCGTTCCCTTTCCTTCCCTCGCATTGCACCCTTACTTTCGTTTACACCGCAAATATCCAAAGGGCATCCTTCTGGCGTTCGACCCATGACCGTCGACGGTTAATTGCGGTTCTTATATAGGAACGCGAGTAAACTTCGAAAACTACCAGGACGCTGAGCAACGTTCGAGACGGTTGGTTGGACTACGGGGGGGGGAGTCAAAACGGGGTGAGCGGGGGTTAGCGGGGCTGGGGAATCCCTCACTTGATGAAGGTAGAACTGGGGTTAGGAGAGAGGGGGACGGGTTAAGAGAAGAGAGAAACTGAGGTTAATAGAACTAAGGAGAGTTAGCAGAGGGATGAAGGGGTGGGTGGGGGAGAGAGTAAAGGAAGAAGTGATGGTCGCTTGTGTGATAAAAGAAGTACGTGAGAGTGAGTAAGAAAGAAAGGGAAAAGAAATAACGTGGATGTGATAGTAGTAGTAGTAGTAGTAGTAGTAGTAGTAGTAGTAGTAGTAGTAGTAGTAGTAGTAGTAGTAGGAGTAGGTCTAGCTGTTGAGGAAGAAGGGCCAGGTGAGGGGGAGGGAGAGGGATTGGTAGAGAACGACGTCAACCTGGAACGAGACTTTAATCTCGTCGTAATGGGGAAATGCAATTTTCCTGCAGTCTACTGGCAACGAGGTCGCTTCCTCAGATCGATCCTGGTCTGTGTATTATACATCTTGCTCTCTGCACGCGTGCCTCGTTTCGAAATCTCTTTGATGGAAAATTGTACGATGGAAAAAGAGAAATAGAGAGTGAGAGAGAGAGAGAGAGAGAGAGAAAGAGAGAGAGAATTTAGAAGCAAGGGAAGAGAAGCAAAAGCAGTAGCAGCAGGCAAGAAAGTAGCTACCAGTATACCTTCAGTGGTAGAAGGGAGTGTAATAAGGGGGGGATGGGGTAAGAAGGGTTTCTAGAAGGTAGGAGTAACGGGGTTGGGGTAGAGGGTGTAAGGGTGTAAGGGTCTAGTATTAGTATGAGTTAGTAATAGTAGTAGTATGCAAGAGAAAGTAAGTCACCTTTTCTCGCAAGCTTTTATACCCCCAACCCCGTACCTTTACCCCTCACCAATCCACGACCCATCCTGTATCTACCTTCTAACACCACCCTTTTCTCAACGTACCACTCCCATTCCACCCTTCGTCTCTGTACATCGTCCTCGTTATTCGCCCCGCGGCTATCCCAAAGGAGGAATACCATTAATACGTATCCACCTTCAATCCACCCTCCTCCTACCCTTCAACCCTCTTCCTTCTCATCCTTTTCCTATTTTACCTTCACTTATTGCGTATGTGTATTTCTCTTCTTCTTCTTCTTCTTCTTCTCCTTCTATACATAACATATACATGTATGTGTGTATATATGTCTAGTTTTATTACGTGTATGTGTATAAATGTTGAATAGATAAAGGTGGATAGATAGAAATTTACAAAGCTTTAGGTTAGACTTCATACCGGTACATCGCACACACACACACACACACACAAGCAAGTACATGCGCGTGCACACTATGTACGTGTACGTGTATGCGCGTATCGTTGACTTTAGTTCGATTTCTCTCATCAATAATGCAGACATATTGGATTTAAAGAATATTGACGTTTATCTGTGTGGAAAGATGAATATATGTGTAGGGGGATGAAGTATAGGAAAGGTGGATGAAAAGAGGGTAGGAAGGGGAGGGGCTAGTCGAGGTGAGTGGCAGGTGGAGAAACATGAGAAAGAGAAGGAATAGGAGGAGGATGAGGAATTTCTATCCGATGATGATTATGAGAGAAAGAGAATGCGAAGAATGAAAAAAAGGGGGATGGAAAAGAAAAAAAGAGAAAGTATGTATAACGAAAAGATATAAAAAAGAAAAAAGAAAAAAAAAACAAGGAAAACGAGACGAAACAGAAAAAAACAAAATATGAAAAACAAGAAAAATATTAAAGAGTATAAAAGTGGCGCCCATACTCTTCTCCTCTTGCCCGTGCATATTGCGTAAGTTGAGTATCTTCCATCTCTTTTTATCCACCTGCCCCCACCCCTTGGATTCATGTACGAGCCCACGTACGTAACATTACGTGGCTAATCGATATTTTCCATTTTCTTCTCGTTCCTTGCCGACCACCCTTTCTCTCTCTCTCTCTCTCTTTCTGTATTCTTTTTTGTTTTTCATCTTTTGCTTTTTCTTCGTTTTTTTTTTTTCATTCTTCCCCTTTTTTCTTCTTTCTCGACTGTTTTTTTTTTCTTTTCTTTTTTTTTGTCGACCGTCCCACGGGCATAGAAAACGTGCACTATCTCCCAGGTACCTCTTGCCTGTCTTACCGTTTACTATATGCGCAATCTGAAACGATTATTAACATATGAACTCTCTCTCTCTCTCTCTCTCTCTTTCACTCTCTTGTTGTTTTCTTCTTTTTCTTTCGTCTTGCTACTCTTTTGTCTTTCATGAATATACCATTACCTGGATAAGTATGATTGGAAATGTTTCATACGGGGTGCTCTGAGTGTATTACTTTATTCTTTTTTTTTTCTTTTTTATTCTATATTCCTTTCAATGTTCGGATAAGAGGTTAAAACGCGTGTATCAGGTGTTTTTTATTTATTTTTATTTTTTTTTTATTAAAAGATTTAACGGATTATTATTTTTTTTTATTATTTTTGATTGATTTTCAAATTAAATTAACACACTATCGGCGAGAACGTCGCGAGCTTGACTGACTCACGCGTATAGCGAGCAAAAATGAGCAAAATATTAAAGCAGTGCACTTTTTAAAAAACGTGTTATATCTTCACATCTAATAGTAGGATTTAATATAGTAGGATAGAATAAAATGAATAGTTCAGAAACTACCCCTTAAAATCGTAATTTTTTTTAAGTTAGTCACATTTTTTCATTCTCTTTTGTAATAGGGTATCGTCCAAGAACCGTTTCAAAAGGTATCGACTGTTCTTATATAGTAGTAGTAGTTCCTCGTTCCGTTTACTTGCGTTAAACTTAGCAGTGTATTTTCCCCAACCTTTCCCCTCTCCCTCACCCCCAATGCCAGGACAAACGAAATTAAAACGTCGAGCTAAGAAGTTTCCTCAGTTTCTAAAGTTTAAAAGGGTAGGAAGGGGGAAGGGGAAGGAGGGGGGAGGGATAAAAGAAGAAAAAAACAAAAAAGGTGGCCTGGGGGTCAGAAGGGCAAAGGGATAGGGTGGCAGCAGAAGTGGGTGGGGGTCGTAGAAATGAACAGATAGGTAGGAAGGTAGATAAAGTCAATGTAAGAAAGAAAGGAAGGAAAGTATACTGAAGGAACCAGAATAAGATTGTTTCGAAGTTCAGTTGTGTCTGTGTGTATATGTGTGTGTGATGTTGAACGTTAGCAAAAAGGAAGTAGGGAACTCATCTACCCCTTCCCCACCCCCTCTACCCCTACTTGTTCCGTATCTTTCCACAAATGTGCTACGAATGCCTCGCGGCAGAAGAAGAAGAGACTTGACCTTTGTAACCCCCGGGCCTGCATTATTAAGTCCTTTGCAGTGTGCAAAAGGGGACCACGGAAGCACGTGAATGATGCTTTCTGAATAAGGGTTGGAAAAAGACTGGGTGGGAGAGGGTTTGGGGGTGAAACTGGTGTACCGGTTTTACCTCCAAGACTCGTAAAAGGCATCCCGAATGAAATAACTTCTAAATTCTTGTTAACGGATAATTCCTTGAAAGTATGCACCCAACCAAAAAGGTATCCGTTAGATATCTTCCCTTCTTCATTCCACTTGTCTCTTTGACCCTGTTTTTTTTTTATAATTCGTATTTTGTTTTTGTCATTATTATTTTTATCAATTTGCACGAAATTGTTGAACCACTTTGGTATTGTTAATTGGAGTTTATTGTAATTATTGATCTTATTTTATTTTTAAGATTAAACAAGAATTTTTTTTTATAGATAAAAGTTACATTTATTTGTTGAAAAATTTATATTTGTGTGTGTTATTTCTTATAACTCGAATATTAAATAATTTGTATTGGAATATTGAATGAGTTAAGACATTTGTCATATATTGGTATATCAGTATTAATCAGTTTTAAACTTTAATTATTTTTTGTTTAAATTGTTAAGGTACTTTATCTTATGATAGGAGCTAAATTTATTGAGAAAATTAGGTCAATCGATTTTCGATATAATAAAAAATGGATTTGGACATTATTGAATTATTTCAAAGGTTAAGAATCACTTTTGATGTATTATTATTATTGATCAAATTTGAATAAGTACATTTTTAAGATTAGTTTAAATAATACACTTACTTATAATTAAGGGTTAAATTTTATAAAAACATTAAGAGAATACATTTTTCTATTTTATTTGTTACTGAATATTGTTTAATAGGTTTAATAATTAAGACAAATGTAAATATAAAAATGTTTTTAACAGTTATCAACATTAATTGAAACATTTTTTATATTACATTTACACTTAATATTTCATAATAAAATTAATATTTATAAATTATTCATTATTTTATTACACCAAATTTTAATATATTATTTATATAAATTGTTGTATTTTTCTGTATTACAGATCCCAAATCATTTGACGTGGTTATGTTTCTTTTATATAATATTTCATTCATTTTTAAATCTAATGGGTGAACTATTACACTTTGCCGATCGAAATTTTTATTGTGATTGGTGGAATTCGAACAATATCGACACATTTTGGAGAAGTTGGAACATGCCAGTACATAGGTGGGCTGTACGGTGAGTAACTACTACTATAATATAAATGTTGCATATAAGTTGTAACTATAGATTGTATATGAAACAATAGTTTGTCATTATGAAGTCTTGAATGCGTATTGTATGAATAGTTGACATGTATATAAGCATTAACATAGAGAAACTTTTACTACTAAATTTTCTATTAGAATATTAATAAACGTTATTAATTAAATTGCATATTAGGATGATAATTTAAACATGACAAAAAATTAGTTTAAATAATATGTATAGAAACTAAATAAATATAGAATATAATAAAGAATTAAATAACTAAATAAGTAACTAATAAATAACCTGTAACTATCTTTTTCTATATATTATATATATAATTAATATATAGTATGGTATATTTAGTTTCTATATATACAGAAACTATATAAATATAGAATATAATAAATAACTAAATAACTAATAAATAACCTTTAACTATCTTTTTCTATATATAATATGTATCTATATATATAGTTTTGTAGTACATTATATTATAATGCATATATAAATATAGTATAGTATATTTAGTTTCTATATACATAGAAACTGAATAAATATATAATATAATAAGTAACTAAATAACTAATAATTATTATAACTAAAATAACTAAATAAATAACATATATATATATATATATAGAAACTAAAAATGTGTATATATATGTGTAAGAAAGAGAAAGAGATGTAGTAAAAAGGTAGAATAAAAGAAAAAAATAATAAGAAGAAGAAGTAAGTAAGTAAGAAAGAAAGAAAGAAAGATAGAAACTGAATCTCGGGTAGACAGAACCCGGCACTCGCGAAAAATGTAATTAAATCTTCTTAAAGGGAGGCAGCAGGCACACTCGTTAACGAAGTTTAACCGGTTCGGTTAGAAAAGGAAGAGGAAAAGCTCGATCAAAGGTCCAGGAGCATGCTTGTAAGAGTAGGATGCTGCGAGTTCTCATCGTGTTTCCCATCTACCTACCTCTACCACTTCTTTCCACGTTCACCAACTTCTTCCTTCCTTTCTTCCTTCCTTCTTTCCTTCTTTCTTCCTACTTTTACCACCCAAACCCAACCCAACCCAACCCCCACTTCACCCTTCATCATCCTTCTTTTACTTCTTCCTATACTTCTGTTACTTCTTCCTTTGCTTTTACTACTCTACCACCCACCTTTTACCCTTTCTTCTTTCTTACTTCTTCATTTTACTTTTTTCTTACTTTATTTTTGCTGTTTACTTCTGAGCTATCCCTCCCTCCCTCCCCCTTCTCCCCCTCCTCTTTCCTCATTTTTCTTTTTTTTCTTCTTCTTCTTCTTCTTCTTCTACTCTACTCACCTCACTTCAATCCCTTTCTGTTTCCCTACCACCACCATCACCACCACCGATCCTTCTCTAACCTTTCCCCTACCCATCTTCTTTCATCTAACCCCACCCCTCCCCCTCAACCCCTATTCTTTTCTCTCCATAATGTTCTACTACGTGTACCTTTCACTCTGTGAAAGAGAAAAAATTCTTCGGGCACTTTAATACGCATACCTTCGCCCTTCTTCGTTTTCTTCTTTTATTCTTCTTATTCTTTTTTTCCTTTTTTTTTTTGTGAGTTCTTATCTTTTACAGGAGAGCACATGGATAACATAATTATTAACTAAACCTCATGTATTTTCTTTAAAGATATGAATGACGTATATTTGAGATTATTATTATAGTCATCAAGTTTGTCAGATTTTATTTTCAAATATTTTGAAAATTATTTATTATCTTATTAATTATTTAGTTATTTGGTTATCCTAGTATCACAAAATATTGAATACATGTGTATTTAATATTAAAAAGAGATTCACACACATATAATGTCTTTTTAATATTAAATGTGTATAATTAAATATGTATTCAATATTTTGTGCTCTACTAGGGTTATTTATTAGTTATTAGTTATTTAGTTTCTATATATATATATATA